CAGAGAAGCTGTGGCTGCCCCTGGATCCCTGGGAGTGTCCAAGGAAAGGTTGGATTCCCTGGGATAGCGGGAGGTGTCCCTGAACATGGACCGGGATGATCCTTAAAGTCCCTTCCCACCCAAACCTCTCTGGAATTCCGCCGGCTGCTTTCCCCCATTCCCAGGGAACCCCCCAAATCCCGGTGGATTCGACGCCGGTTTCACTCCCGTCTCCTCTCCCCCTTCCAGCAGATCCCTTTTCCCTCCTGCTTTATCCATGATTTTATTCCCGGACCGAGGGCAGGTCCCTTCCCTTCCCACCCGCCCCTCTCCGGGATTTTGGGATTTATGGAGCTCCTCCGCCAGCTCATCCAAGACGCGCAGCCCTCCCTGAGTCTCCCGCTCCCCAAATCCAGCCGGGAAGCGGCTCTTCCCGCTCTCCCAGATCCTCGGGAATCCTGGAATCTCCGGCAGCCGAAGGGTTACGGGAGGCGGGGCCGGAGCGAATTCCCGCCCCCCAAAACGCCGGGAAAAAAACCCCCTTTTTCCCCGCTCCACATCCCGAGGGAAGGATCCAGGGGAGGATGCGGGATGAACCCTCGCTGATCCCGGCGGGGGCTCCGGGAATCGCATCCCTGTTTTCCGGGCTCCGTTTTTTTCCAGCCCCGCATCCCGAGGGGAAAAAAAAAAACCACGAGGCGTTGTCGGGAAAAAAAGGAGCGCTGGGAAAAAAACCCAAAAGGGCCGAGGAGGAGCAGAGGGGAGGGGGGGGGGAGGCATCGCGACATCTCCCGGAGCTCCGGGAGCATCCCGGCGCTGCGCAAAAGGCCGGGAAAAACCGGCCGGGAAACTGGGATTCAAGGCCGGGAAGCGGCCGGGAAGGAGCTTTGGGAAGAGGCCGGGAAGGAGCTTTGGGAAGAGACCGGGAAGGAGCTTTGGGAAGAGACCGGAAAGCGGCGTGAGAAGCCGGCTGGGAGCTGGGAATCAGCCCGGGAAGCAGCCTGGAATTAGCCTGGGAAGTGACCTGGGAATCAGTCCGGGAATCAGCCCGGGAAGCAGCCTGGAAGTAGCCTGGAAGTAGCCTGGGAATCAGCCCGGGAATCAGCCCGGGAAGAAGGAGCCTCTCCCGCCGCACCGCATCCACGATTATCCCTTTCCCGCTGCCCTGGAGAACCGGGAAGGCCTCGGTGAGCCGGGAAGTGGGCTGGGGAGTGACCCGGGAAGCGGGCTGGGAATCTGCCTGGAATTAGCTTGGAATTAGCCTGGAATTAGCCTGGAATCATCCCGGCGTCCCAGCCCGCGCTGCATCCGCGATTATCCCTTTCCCCCTTTCCCTGGGACTGCTGGGAAGGCCTGTTGAGCTTCCCTGGGAGCTGGGAAGCAGGTTGGGAAGCGAGCTGGGAATCAGCCCGGGAATCAACCCGGGAATCAGGTTGGGAATCAGCCTGGAAGCAGCCTGGGAAGTGAGCTGGGAATCAGCCTGGGAATCAACCTGGAATTAGCCTGGGAAGCAGTCTGGGAATCAGTCTGGAATTAGCCTGGAAACAGTCTGGGAAGTGACCTGGGAATCAGCCTGGAATCAGCCTGGAATTAACGTGGAATCAACTTAGAATCAACCTGGGAAACAGCCTGGGAATCAACCTGGAATTAACCTGGAATCAACTTAGAATCAACCTGGGAAACAGCCTGGGAATGAACTTGGAATTAGCCTGAAATTAGCCTGGGAATCATCCTGGAATCATCCTGGAATCAGCCTAGAACCAGCCTGGGAATCAGCCTGGGAATCAGCTTGGGAATCAGCTTGGGAATCAATCTGGAATTAGCCTGGAATTAGCCTGGGAATCAGCCTGGGAATCAACTTGGAATTAACCTGGAATTAACCCAGGATCAGCCTAGAACCAGCCTGGGAATCAACCTGGAATTAGCCTGGGAATCAGCTTGGGAATCAACATGGAATTAGCCTGGAATTAGCCTGGGAATCAACTTGGAATTAACCTGGAATCAACTTGGAATCAACCTGGGAAAGAGCCTGGGAATCAACTTAGAATCAACCTGGGAAAGAGCCTGGGAATCGACTTGGAATCAACTTGGAATTAACCTGGAATCAACTTGGAATCAACCTGGGAAAGAGCCTGGGAATCGACTTGGAATCAGCCTGGGAATCAACTTGGAATCAGCCCGGAATCAGCCCGGGAATCCCCTTGGAATCCCCCCGCTCTCCCAGCCTCCCGTCCGGCGCCGCGTCTCCCCCATTCCCCGGGAAAACCTGGGAATTCCCGCTGAGCCGGCGATGCCTCCTCGAGTGACCCCTCCCTGACCCCCCCCAATCCCGCCTTATTCCGACCGGGAAAACCAAACCACCCCCCCCCTCCTTTTCCCCCCCGTCCCTCAACATGCCCAGGACCGGCGGCTTCTCCGAGCCGGAATTCTCCGCCGACTACTCCGCCGACTACTCCGCCAGCCTCCCCTCGGATCCCGAGCGCGCCGCCGACGCCGCCGGCTCCTCCCGCCGCGGAACCTTCCGGATCTCCCCGCCCTGCCCCTGCCTCCCGCGCTCCGCCCGCCTCGCCTTCGCCCCGGAATCCCTGGAAAACCTCTACCAGGCCTATTTCCGCCGGCAGCGCCACGACACCCTCCTGGTGCTCGCCGTCTTCGCCGCCCTCTTCGACACCTACGTCCTGGCCACCGTTTCCTGGGATGTGGGGCGGGACGGGCGGGAATTCCCGCCCGTCCTGGTGCCGGCGGCGGCGTTCCTGCTGGCCCACGGGGCCCTGCTGGCCCTCTGGAAGTGCCGCCTGCTCCCGGAGCGTTTCTCCCGCCGCTTCCTGCCCGGAATCCTCTGGATCCTCATCCCGGCGCAGGTAGGAGAAAGGAAAATATGGGATGGGGTGGTTTTTTTTTAATATAATTATGATAATTGTAATAAATCCGTCCCCTTTTGTCCTCGGAGCTCCATCCTTGGCTTTATGGGGATCAATCCCTGTCCCTGGAGCTCCATCCCAGTCCCTGGAGCTCCATCCCTGTCCTGGACCTCCATCCCTGTTCCTGGACCTCCATCCTTGTTTCTGGAGCTCCATCCCT